CCCCAAAACCCCAAAACCCCAAAACCCCAAAACCCCATTTTGACAGGTTAGCATTGAAAGATATGTGAAAATGGAGTAAATGAAAATGACATTTTGGAGATTTTTAGGAGTAGGTTTTTGCAGATTTATAGCACGAAGAGGTATGTTAGGATTGTGAGCACGAGGGCGATGGCGAGGAGGAGCTTTTGGGCATGACTCTGGTAGTATGGCATTGTTAGCATGTTCATTAGTTTAGCTTTTTCCTCTTCAGTGAATGGTGGCATTATCATTTTGTTAACAGAATCTATATTGATGGTAGGCTTAACAAGAACGGCTTTCTGATTTGAGAAGTTTCTGAATCCATCTATTCCTAGGTATCTTCCTTGCCCAGATTGACCAACTCCTCCAAAAGCAAGTCTGTTATTTAAAGCATGAATGACGCAATCGTTGACTACCATTCCTCCTGCTTGAACTCTTTCCTCAAGGATTTTCTTATGCTCGCCGAAAACTGACCCGAAGTAATACATAGCAAGAGGCTTCTCTCTTTCGTGCATGTGGTCAATAACTTCTTGGAAATCTTTGAATGTCACAACTGGTAGGATCGGGCCAAAGATTTCTTCTTTCATTATCTCAGAATCCAAAGACGGGTTTTCAATAATGGTAGGTTCCATGTATCTATCTTTAATATCGCATTTGCCTCCTGTGACTACCTTACCTCCATGACCTGAGCAGAGTTTGAAGACTCGCTCAGTGTGGAATTCGTTGATCATTCTTGAGTAGAAAACATCCTTTTGCGGATCTTCACCATAGCTATCTTTAATAGTAGCTTTCGCAGACTCAATGAATTCATCCTTCTTGCTTTCATGAATAAGAACATAATCAGGAGAGGTACAGATCTGCCCTGAGTTAGCTAGCCTCGAAGACATCACCTTGAACCCAGCGAATTGAGCATTTGCGTCTTCATCAACAATGGTTGTACATTTCCCCCCTAACTCAAGTAAGCAAGGTACAAGATTTTTAGCAGCGGCTTGTGCGACTAATGATCCTTTCTGTGGACTTCCAGTGAAACAAATCTTGTCCCATTGCATCTGAGAGCATGCAATAGATACCTCTGCGCCTCCTTCGGCAACCTTGAAGCACTCGTTATCAAGGTACTTCTCAACAATGGTCCTCATGACTGCACTCGAGTGGGGAGCCATCTCTGATGGCTTCACTAATGCACAGTTTCCAGCTGCTACAGCACAGATCAGCGGGGAGAACGTAGTCACAAATGGGTAATTCCAAGCTCCATAGATGCATACAGCACCAAGAGGTTGGTAGACCATCCTGGACTTGGCAGGAGCAAGGAGTACTGGGGTGTCTCTCTTCTCTGGCTTCATGTAGTATTCAAGGTTAGCAGAATCTTCCTTAGCTCTATTAGGAATGGCTGTGATTTCCTGGTATAAACTAATAAAGTGGTCTCTTCCAAGATCCTTCTCAAGAGCTACTGAAATCTCTTCTTTCATTTCTTCGAAGGCGAGGATTATTTGGCCAAGTTGTTTTCTTCTCCATTTGATATCATGTGTCTTATCTGTGTAAAAGGCCTTTCTGAGGTCCTTAAAGTATTCATGAACTAAAGGTGTTACAAAAAGAGGCTACCTGTCTCTGGCCTATAATTAGTTTAGCACATTAATACAAAGAAACAAGCTTACGAATCTTCCTTCATTTTGATTAGGATATTAATTGATTTTCAACTCAACATGTTTATGAAGGGGTTTTGGGGTTTTGGGGTTTTGGGGTTTTGGGGTTTTGGGGTTTTGGGG